GTTTCTAGTGCTGTTCTAGAGTCAAATGTAGTCCAACTTTAAAGTTTCAGGTCATGATAAATATTTGGAACCTATCTCAATCTATTTGGGCTGCTGTAACAAATATGTGTATTACATAATTTATAAACAACCCAATTTTGAACTTTGAGGGGACAGATCATTCCAGCCATCAGAAAACCCAAATATGTAGGAAGCTCTGTAAAAATGACAACAGACACAAAACAAACACTTCTTAAATATCTTTCCAGTGATCTAGCTATCTTGAGTAAGCTTTTGATATGTAACTTTAGAACAACACAATTTACGTGATTCTAGAAAGGCTTCATTATCTGCAATGTAATTTGCCATTACAATGATTAATGTTACTTGTCTCATTTCTAAGCTAGTTTGGTTGTAAGGTTACTAACCAGACAAGGGGAATGTCATGTCTTAACTGTGTGCTCTTTAATTACATCCCATTTCTTTGTGTAGCCAAATGTCTCTTATTTTCAATATTTTACAATTTTTATATTTCTGATTTTTCTTTCTGTCTTTCTCTCTGTCTTTCTTTTCCTTCATTATGTGTGTGTGTGGGTGTGTGGGTGTGTGTGTATGAATTTTACCATGGCCTTAAATCAGTTTTTCTATGTATTCCAAGCTAAACTTGAACTCACTTTGTTGCCCAGACTAGCCTCAAGATTTCAAAAATGCCCCTGCCATCTATTTGTATATGCCACATATTGTAGGCAGAGCTTCTTGTCCCACCAGTTCCTGCCACCCTTCAGCCCCAAATAAGCACACAGATGCTATATTAATTATAAAACTGTTGGCTGATGGCTTATTCTTCTTACTGGCTACTTCTCTCTTAATTATTAACCAGTAGCTATGTATTTTCATGAGGTCTTGGTTTACCAGAGAATACCCAGACCTGTTACTCCTTTGGTGTCTATTGGTGGCCTCTCTCTCCCCAGAATTCTCGTCAGGTTTCCTAGCCCCATCTATCTTCATGACTCTCTCGGCCAATCAGTGTTTTATTCAACAACCAATAAGAGAAGCATATATACAGAAGAACATCCCCCATCAATGCTCAAATTTGTTCTTGTCATCATTCCTAAATAGTAAATTATAACAAGCTTTTACATTTTACTACTCAGAATGACTAGATAGTGTTCTGATATCTTCATGGTCTTTTGAAACTAGAATAAGCTCTTTCCATCTAGATGTGATCATGCATGCCTATAACCCTAATACTTGGCCAGCTAAGGCAGGAGGATCTTGGGTTTGTCAGCCTGGGTTATAATGAGACTCAGGTTCAGAGATACTAGGGGTGAGGTAGTGTGGAATGAGAGGGAGAGCTTCCTTCCAAGTGAGTCACTAAGGAGATACTTGTAGAAATTTCTGTAACTATGACTTTTTTAGGTCAATGTATCTTTTAACCTTTACTAAAGAAACAAAACCAGAAACACCCAAATAACAGCTATGTGAGTAAATGTCTTATTATTTCTACTGTTTCTGAGGGCTACTGTGACTGGGGTTGGATGGTTCAAGGTGGCCACACACACACACACACACACACACACACACACACACACACACACACACAAATACATAAATACACACACTGGCACACAAACACAAACACAGATACTCACACATTGACACACACATAACATACACAAACATGCAGAATCACACAGATACACACACTCCCCCCCCACACACACAGGTCTAGGGTCTCATCTAGGAGGTCTGGGTGATAAGGATGGCTGGATATCATTCTGCATCTAGTCCGACCTGGTTCACTAGACTTCCCAGCAGCAAAAATGAATGGGAGGGAGGGAGTCCCATAATGCCAGGTCTCCCCCCAACTTTATATATATTTAATATTTTCTAATATCTGATTGCTCAAAGGAGATGACAAAGCAAAGCTCAGAGTCAAGAATACAGGAGCTACATCTGCGGCAGCAAGGGACATAGAGAAATGACGTTGATCTCAGCCAGGTACTATAGAAAGTCTTCTGTCCAGTAAGTCTGAAATTTTAGGAGATTCGATACTTATATTCAATACTTGTTATAAGTGATGCCTATAAAACTTGAAGACATCCATCGATTTCAAAGATTGGTTTTCATGAAGACACAGTACCTTTTTTCGGCTTTGTTAAGGTTATGTATGCTCTTACATATGTTGCCTTATAAAACCTTTTCAGGCTTTATGAGCTAGGTCCCTACATATGATCTTCCTATGACAGATGTGCAAGCACATGTATGTTCATGTTCACACTCTTACCTTTAAAGGGAATTAAGACTTGAATTCAGTTCTTTCTTTATTTGAACGTAGGGTCCCTCCCAGTGGCTCCACTCTCTGGCTGGTCTGGAACTCACTGTGATATAGTGAGGCTGCCCTTGCACCTGTGGTCCTTCTGTTTCTGCCTCCTGGCATTACAGGCATGCATCGCCACCCCTGTTAGTATTCAGGCATCTGTACTGGCCTGCCCTTGGGGTTCTGACAGGATACGTCCTCAGCTGCAGCCACTAAGAGCACCACATTCACTATGTTCCCTTTTAAAAGGGCCCTGCCCACCCCACATCTCTCTTTCTTCTCCTTTCTTTCTTTCTTTCTTTCTTTCTTTCTTTCTTTCTTTCTTTCTTTCTTTCTTTCTTTCTTTCTTTATCTCTGCTTCTCTGCCTGTCTCTCTGCCTCCTCTCCCCCCCTTTTCTCTTTTACTGCTCCTATCTCCAGAGGCCAGTCTTCCCCCTTTCCTCCCTCTGTTTCCCAGTTCCGTTCCTTTAAGAAAAAACCCCTCCATGTGACTTCTGTCACATGGCATCTTTCTCTCCTGTGCTGCTTTTTTAATTACAACAACACCCAGCTTTGAATTTAGAGTTAATTTTGTTTTGGAAATTAAAATGTAATTACATCATTTTCCCTTTCTGTTTCCTCCCTACAATCCTTCCATTGCTGTCTCTCAAATGACAGTCATCCTCTCTAGCTCTGTGTGTGTGTGTGTGTGTGTGTGTGTGTGTGTGTGTGTGTCTCCCTCTTAAATATATAGATACAACCTGCTCATTGCATATAATGTGATTTGTATGTATGTGGTTTCAGGACTGAGCACTTGGTGTTGGATAACCAGTTGAGGTAGGGTGGCTCTTCCCTGAGGAAGACTATTTCGCTCTCTTTCAACTTTCCCTTGTGGCTTGTATTTCTTTGTCTAGGATTAGGGCTGGTGGTTTTTTATTTTTTCATTATTCTTTTTAATTGTTATTTTAGACAGTGTCATGTACTTATGTACCTAGAATGGTCTGGAAATTTTGACAACTCTCCCTGCCTTGGGCTCTCAAGTGTTAGGATGGTAAGGATTTGCTACCATGCTTGGTTCTTCTTTCAAGTGAATATTTTATATTCTGTGACATAAATGTGTGAGGGAGAAAGGCATTTATTATAAAAGTTTATAATTCTGTCAGACATAGTACTTTTTGTTTGTTTTATTTCAGACAGGGTTTCTCTGTGTAGCCTTGCCTGGCTGTCTTTGAACTAACTGCATATACCAGACTGGCCTCGAATTCAGAGATGCACCTGCCTCTGCCTCCTAAGTACTGGGATTAAAGTTGTGCACCAGCATGCCCAGCTTCAGCCTTGTTAATTATATATCATGGTCTCATTCAGTGAAAATTGTGAAGACCTGTAAATGCTTTAAAAGAAAGATGTCTAGGTCTGGAGATATGATAGCTCAGTTGGTAGAGTGTTTCCCTTCTGTACATAAGGCCTGGGGTCCACTCCTTACTACCACCTAAAGCTGCGCATGGTAATTCCACATATAGTCTCAGTACTTGGGAGGTGAATGAAGGAGTCTCAGAAGTTGAGTGTCATCCTCAGCTATATAGTAAGGCCATCCTGAGATACACGACATCTTGCCTAAGAAAAAAAAAGACAGAGGAAAAGAAAAAGTCTATGGAGAACCAAATAAGGTGACTTGTGGCTACCAGCCTACCTCCCATGAAGCTGAGGCAAAGGAATCAAGGGTACAGGGTCAGAGTTGGTTACCTAGTGAGACCCTGTCTCAAACTAGCCAACCAACAAAAGATGCAAGCATACAATAAGCATCTATAAAAATGACGTCTACATATGTATGTTAGTGACTCAGAAATTTCTCTCTTCCTGATGGAGTATGACTTCTTTGGAAACATACTTGAATACTTACTTAACATTTTCTCAACATTATACATTTATTTATACATTTCTCAACTTGTACACTTATTGAACTTCATAAATGTGTTTTGATGACTAATATTAACAACTTCTATGCACATTGTCACTAGAAGAAATAGACTGATGTTACATCTTGCATAAATTTCAACACATATGCATGTGTGTCTGTATGTTTACATATATATGACACACACACATATATATATATATAAAGCTGTGACATTTTATGTTTTATCTGATACTGCACTGACAAACATACACATATATGTGAAAATATGTTTTATTTGACATTGCACAGGCATGGGTCTTCAACAGAAACTGCAGATTTTCTGTGTACCTCTGGCTCTGATGTAATAAATTATACCAGGGGGAAGTGGGCTCCAAGATACTTCTTAAAGGAAAGATTAATATTCCTTAGGCTTGTATGTTCACTTAGTAACTAGAGAGCACTGGTCCTTTCTCATCTAGTTCCACTGAGAACATCTAGATGTGCAGTCCGGATTAGGCACATTTCGTAGCCAGCATCTAATGTGTTCCCTGGTGTAGGAGGAAGTCTGATGCCGCCATTCAACATGTGACTTATTAGAGGCGCATACAGATGAGGTAATAAAAGGGCGGTTTACCACACCGCTAACCACACCCACTTTAGGCAGGACTAAAGACGTATACGGCTGGACGTAAAGACGTATACGTACGTAGGCGGAACTACGTCACTAGCCAGGCCCACTTTTGGGCATGGCTAGGGGCGTTACGGGGGAAGGCATAAAAGACAGCGCACAGGAAGTCTCGCTCTCTTTTCCTGGAGTTCGGCTTCCGGTCCGGCCGCTAGCTGAGAACTAGATCCTCTGGGTTTGGTATCTTGTGAGTAATTTTCTATATTAAATACTTAGCCTTATTTTCAGTAATTGTGTGTCGAGTATAGTTACAGCGTCCGTTGAAGCCAACACCCTGGCACAATGCTTCACTTTGACGGAATGCTCCAAAGAAGCACTGATTGGTGAGGCCCCCCTGAGCCATGTAGACCATTAGTTGAGCTTGGGTTGGTTTCTTTAATTCTTTCACCTTCAGTTAGCCTATATTGTGAGCTTGTTGGGAGGTTCCCATGAGGTAAACTGTCTATAAATCACTAAAAGTTATGGAAACACAAACTATAATAAATACTCCTGAAAGATGTGCCAGTAGAAGGGACTGATCTTAAATTCCTAATGACTTGGTCCATTAAAATACAAGGGTTTGGAAACTATACTTGGTACTTCTCCTGTATCTATAAGGGTAGGGATATTTGAGAAGCATCTCAAGGTTGGAAATAGTGATAACCATTCTTGATTGCATAGGGATGGGAGCTCAGTCCAGTCATGTTGTTTACAGTGTATAGTCTTCATTAGGAGCCCTCTCCCCAAGCAAGCATGGAAGGGATCTGCAGATACTTCCAGCAGGCTTCCCAAGAGGAATTTGTTTTCCTTCTTTTGCCTTCTGCTCTTGTACCGCTTCTCAGACTTGGTCTGGATTCTTTTAGTGTCTCCTAATTATATTCATAGCCTTGGCTTTCAGGCCTAGGCATCTTTTAAGGCTAATTTATGGGCTATTTTGAAAGAAATTTCCTAGCATTTTATAGGGACTTTATTTACTTTAATGAGACCTCATCGATGTATTCATTATAAAGAGCCTCATTGATTTGCTTTCCTGCTCTGGGCACTCGCCTTCTTTGCCCCCTCTGCAGGAAATTACATTGTAGGCAGAGGCCTCATGCAGAGAAAAGATGTCTCCTTATTCAGTGGAAGCAATTTCTGTCTTGTGTGTTGCTTCAACTGTCATAACATTCTCAAGCATGAGCTTCACTCTCTTGATTAATATTTATAGCCTCCACTTTAAGCACCTGTAATGTCAGTGGCTGTGGGGTGAGGAGTGTTGTACAGGGCAGACAGATGAGTGGATGCAGTCTGCTCACACACAGAGGCCAGGGCTATGCAGTGCTCCAGCCTTAAAGACGCTGCACTCTGTTGTAGGCCAGGACAACCATTGCAGAAGATCGTGAATCAGGGTCGATATGCTGCTGGACTGTCTTGTGAATTTTGATGGGTCCTTGAGATTGAGACTTTTTATTTCCTTCCTGTATCATGGACCCTCTGGGGGGTTGTTGACCAGGGCTTGTCACAAACAGGACAAATGACAAATTTATGCAGCTGCCCGTCAAGACATTCTTGTGTTCCTATAGGGCTTGACAGGGTAGCTCCCCTCGGAAAGTGGAGATTTCTAGGAGCAGGTGAGTTACAGTTCCAGGAAGGCAATGTTCATGACTCAGTTGCCAACCCCACACCTCCCAGCCCCGCCCAAGTCTTGAATGATAAAGCACTGTCACACACCTCTGCTAAATTGGGAAACAAGGAGTGACTGGGCAGAATGGAATAACAAAGCCAGTAAAAGGTCTGACCATGTGAATGGAGAGCATCCACAAACACTTCCCTGTTCTTCTCTCAAGGTACAAGATGACTTTTAGGACCACCTTGTACTTGGTGTCCATTTTCATAGCTAATTAATTTATTCAGCTAAGGTGACTTACACCGTTAAAATGTATCTTAGAGACCTGTAGGTACACTATTTAAGACACTGTAGAACACTGTCTAAACTTTATTAACTAGGGCAAATGCTGCCCTTTTCAAGGTAATTTTACTCTGATTCTAGCAGATGCCATGAAAATTTGTCTTCATGGTGTCCCTACTGTCTAGAGTTTATAGAACGTGTCTTCTGCTAACACATAATAATGTGAGCATATGTGGATATTTTATTCCCTTTTCTACAGGTCTTATCTTTGCATTCTTACACTTCTAGGATAGATTCTTATACTTCCTAGTCGGTGGCACATAATAGAAGATACATTCAAAAATCAACAACCAAACCAGGAGTCATGCCATCTGTAACCATACCATGTGCTGGGTGGCAGCATACATGGTAGTGCTCTGAGAATAAAGAGAAGATGAATTGGTGGGCAAGGGAAGGAACATGGAAACAGGCAGGGCGCTCCAGGTAGAGAAAGAAGGCTGCGGGTATTCTAGGAGAGAAAAGTGTTAGCAACTGGTATACCCAAGAAGGTAAAAGATGCCTTCGGAGAGTTAGCATGATGTGGTCACACAGCAAATAGCAACTGGATGAGACTGGAAATTAGAAACTAAGGTCATTTTGCTCCGTGGAAAGCAAGATTAGCTGCCCCAAAGTTTTGAACAATTGAGTGTCATGATTAAACAGACATTTCAGGAAGATTTCTCAGGTAAGGTTATCCAATGTACTGAGACTGCCCAGAGGCCTCCTCCTTGTGGATCAAGATGAAATTTCTCAGCAATTCCTGCCACCATGTGCTCTGCTATCATGGACTCAAACCCTCTGGAACTGTAAGACCAATCACACACTTTCTGTTATAAGTAGTCTCAGTCATGGTGTTTTTGTCACAGCAACAAGAAAGTATCTAATATTCCAACACATATAATGTTGAGAGAAGTTCTCACCCTCTCTGCCTGACATGTAGCAGGGTTTCAACTTAGAGGAAACATGAAACAAGCATCAGAAGATACACACATGTAGACAAGTTTCTAGCCCATTTACCAGAACTGGGAGGCCATCTTCCTACTGCTAGTGTCAAGGCTCTTCACTTCCAGTATCATATTTCCTACAGGGAGCTGAAGAAAAACAAGATACAGATATATTTGTCATGAATTCTCATAATTTTATGCTGCTTGGGCATCACATCCTGACTATAACTTGGACCTTCTCCCTTGAGGCGGTTTCCAGTTATCTTCTTCTCCCCAGGTCCTCAAGGTATCCTGGGGGCAGCGCCATTCACTGCGAAATGGAAGACAGAAGAAGAAGCAGAGTTTGAGGGTCCAGGCCCCGGAGAGAGGAAGGCATGGCTTGTGGGAGCATGTGGTGACTCTGCACTGTAGAGGCAACCAGGAGGAAGCCAGGTGTCACCTGTGCGGATGAACTGGGAAGACACTTCTGTGAAGGATTAGAAGACAAGTAAAATATTTTACCTAGTAGCCTCAGTCTTCCCTCCCCTAGAAGTAGATTAGTAAGTTACCAAATTATAATTGATATTTTCATCTCCCGATAGATGCTGCCTCAGTTTGTTGGTATTTTATACGTGCTGATTCTTTGTATTCCTCGCCCCCCCCCCCTTAAAGTTCTAGGGAATCTGCTTCTCTAAGTCAGGCAAAGATAACTAGATAGATACAACTGATCCTGATGTGGCCAGAGTGCACACTATGTCGCGTGCGTCTTTCTCCTTGTTTCTCTGGGTTTCACTGCTCATGAGCACAGCATCCAGGAGTGACTGCTGAGCCCTGGGAAAAAGGGACTTTCGGGTTCAACTTGTGAAGCTTTTCAATCGGCTTCTCCCCTCCTAGCCTGGGAGAGCTCAATGCATCTATCCAAGTACCGGGGTGGAGAGGGAGTTGGCTTCCCAGCGCTGGCGGTTCTCAGGGAGCTGGACCGGTGCCTGGTTGCTCCTGGGAATTGTGCTGTGGCCAGTGCAGCTGCGCTCTTCCTTAAGCGGTGGCCAAGAAAAGTCCCTTTCTATGAGCTGGTCTTTTAGCCCATAGACACTGAGGCACCAGGATATTGTGGGGGGGGGGGATTCGGATGCTCCCTGCTCCATAAATATGACCTCCTGAGGTTCTCCCTTTTCTTTTTCTTAGGCAGGCCTGCAGTACCCACGGATTACGGAAGACTTTGTAAGAGTTAAGTCTTTTCTCCCTTCAGAGACAACACCCTCACTCCTGAGGAGGTAAAATCAAAGAGATCAGCATAGAAGAATAGAAAATAGGCCGACTTTGTGTCCTTTCAGTGGCTGGAGGAGGTGAGGTGAGGTGGGAGAGGCGGAGTTGGGTTCCCGTAGGAAATCTTCCACCATGCTTTTCGTTTCTCCATGGCTCTGGCCTCCACTTGCAGAAGGAGGCTCTAACTGGAAGAGCACGAAGGCCTCTCCTCACATTGCACTCTGTGGTTTTATTTTTGTTTCCCTTGGTGGCTTGAAAGAGACTATGCAAGCTCCAAATGAATTGCTATCACAAACCATCATCACCCCAGTCCCTAGAGGTTTTTAGCTCACAGATGCTTCTCATCTTTTAAAGGACTTTGGGGGTGGGGAGAATCACGTACAAGTAAATTCCAGAAGATATAACTGATCTTGGTGTGTCTATGAAATCAGGAAGTTGTTTTCCCCAGCCGGGCAAGGTCCGGGTTGGCCTGGACTTAAACTTTGAGCTGGTAACTTCTATTGTTTGTTTATTTTGTGAGACAAGGTCTCACGCAGCCTGGGTAGGACTTGAACTTAAGGTTGATCTGCCTGAGCTTACCCTCAAGAAAGCCAGGGCTTCTTACTGGGAAGACAGGAGCACAGGGTAGAGATAAACCAGTTCAAATTTTTATTTAAATTTTACTTTTGAGGTGTGTGTAAGGATGGGGCATTATTCTGGCCTGCCCCTGTTACCGGGCAGAATGCACTCAGGCGGTAACCTGGTCAGCTCAGGATTCCATGACTACTAATTTGCACATAGGTACAAAGGACCCTTTAAAAAAAAAAGACCCCCCCTCCCACTTAATGCTCTTTTTCCTGCTCTTTCCCGCCATAGACAGTAATTTTCCTGTCTCCCTCTTCTCTTCTGTCCTCTCTCTGTCTCTGTGTCTCTTTACCTCTCTTCTCCCTGCCTCCCTTTCTAATAAAACTTCTCACTTAAGCTCTGTCTGCCTGGCAATCCGCCGCCGGGGGTGGGGTGGGGTGGGGGGGTGGAGTAATGTGTAGTTCAGGTTGGTCTTGAACTCACGACCCTCCTGTCTCTACCTCCAGACTGCTAGGATTACAAGTATAGACTTCCCTCCGACCCTAACATTCACTGGCTCTTGGTTATACTGGTCCATCTCATCCAGCTCCCGACTCTTAGGGGTATACTGCCGATCACTATGTGACGGGGGAGGGGAGTCATGAAGACAATTTAGCAAGGGTTGCCATCTATGTGGTCATGTGTGCTGTTTGGACGGAAATCCCATAATATCTCCAGGCAGTTTAATTCTGTGGTAGGACCAACTTGAATAATTAAACAAAACAAAGACGTGACAACATTGTGCTTATGGTACAACACAGCTGTGATTCCAGGAGCTCAGGGAAGAGGAGGAGTTGGGGGAATCTGTCACAGCAGAAGCATGCTTGTAACAAATGACAATTTAGCAGACACCCTTTAAAGACACACTTTAGAACAGCCGCTACAGTGTATGTCCTGTCAAGAGACCGTGGTCTGGTATTAAAGGAGTGGTTGATCACATATTGGTTATGGGCATCTTATAAACCCAAATTCTGTGCCACAGTGGGCCACCCACAATGCCTTCCTTTGAGCTAAAACTCTGATACCTTTTGAAATAGCAGATGATAATCCAAAGAGTGAGAAAGACTGTGCATTAGATGTAACGGGAGTGGCACATTTGAAAGGATTCCCACCCCCAGCCCCGCCTGTTGCTTCTTATTGGGCAAGGCTTAAAAAGTAACAAGAGTGTGAAGGAGAAACTGATTTTCTGATGCTAGACTCTGGGATTTCTGTTGCAAAAGGATTCTCTTTTCTTTGATCGGGGATGTGATGGCTTTTTGTTCCCCAGCAGCACAGGGTTGCTTTTCAATGGCTTCCTTCCTCCACAGTGGCATTCAGTCCTGAAGAAGCATTTGCATAGCAAGCATGATCTGCTCAGCCAGTGAGAACTGGAGCAGGTTAAACTCTGGAATAATCTCCCTGCCAGCAAAAATGATCACGGGTCTAAACGGCACAGACCTTTGAAGCCCAGGCCTCAGCCACATAAACAGACCCAGATGTGATTCTACAGGGCAGGGCAATTGATGTCATTTACATGCCTTGACCTCTGAGGTCTCCAAGAAGCATTTTTAATTCGCACTTTTGTTCCGTGATTTGACTGCACTTGCAGAATTGGGAGGGGGGTGTGTTGTCACTTTAGGGACAGGGATTGTATCTCCATGAGGGAGGGTTTACTTGGAATGTGTAAGGCCCAGAGTTTGCATCCCAGCGTTTTAAAGAAAACAATAGATTGCCTCACAATTGCACCCCTTCCCTCCCATTTTTAGCATGGACAGTTTACAAAGTAGTTTACATTAATGAACTTCCCAGAGCTGGGGATGTAGGGCTGTTGGAAAGCTGGACCTGGTGACTGCCTGCCCCCTTGACAAAATCTAGAGTCATCTGGGAAGAGATTTTTAGAGAGGAATTGTCTAGATCAGCTTCACTTGAGGGCTTGTGTGTGGGGACGGTGTGGGGGGAGCAGATTGTCTTGTTAGTTGAGGTAGGCAAACCCAGCCTGTTCCAGGCTGTTCTATATCCTAAGCAGTGATGTCCATAGCAGTGTAGGAGAGGGCAAAGCTAGCCCTCTGTGCTCTTGACTGAAGATGTGATGTGACTAGTTGCTTGAGTTCCTGCCTTTGCATCCCAGAAATGATGGGCTGTAACTTCGGATCGAAAGCCAACTGAATCCATTCCTCCCTTACGTTGTGTCTTGTTAGAGTATTTACCACAGCAAGAGAAAGAAAGAACAGTGACACCTGTGTGTAGTAGGCTCCGTTTCCAGTAAGTAGAGGTAAGAGGGTCAAGCTTCAAGGCCATTCTGGAGTTCAAGGCCAACCTGAGCTACATGAGATCCCATCTCCTAATAGAAGAAAGAAAGAAAGAAAAAGAAAGAAAGAGAAAAAAGAAGAAGAAAAGGAAAGGGGGAAATTCATAAACTTCTGAAACATGACAAATATTAACATTACTTTAAGTCTTTTAACGTTTGAGAGTTTGCATGGCTTTTCTGTCTCCTCTCTTGACTCTCTATTCCCCATTTATCTGTTGAAAAAGGTTCCACTGGGAACTTGCCTGTCTTTTTTACCATATGCTTCCTTTACTGTCCAGTGTCCTCAGAGTGGCTTTGTGGCAACTCACAGTTCTTAGAGTCTGTCTCCTGCCTTCCTCCCTAAACATGGGTGACTCTTCAGCACTCAGCCCTCGAGGCCAGTGAATGCAGGCTCCATCTTTCTCTCTGAGTCACTCCGCTGTGGAGTTCTTCTCTCCACTTTCTTCTCCACCCACCCGTTCCTCTAAGCCCTGCCCTGTCCCTGTCCTTCTATCCTGGCAGTAAGGGCTCTGTGTTCTGGAACCCTCTAGTTCACCTCCTGCTCTTACATACCCCAGGCCTGTGTGCTCTTATTTGGTTTCCCTGTCTCAAGTTTCTCAACTTTGGTCACCATAAATTTTGGTCATCATAAAATGCTTTGTTTCTATCAATCATTTCTTTGCTTTCTGGTATGTTCTTAATTTACTTGACTTCAATTTCTGTAATCAGATTTTCCTCATCTTTTTCTTAAACTTTTTTATTGCTTTAATTTTAAATAGCTTGCTTCACAGTTCCCTCTCCCTCCCCTCCTCCTGTCCCCCCCATCCCTCCCAGCCTCCCACCCTATCCCTACTTCCTTCCACATAGGGGATATCCAGAGTCTGTCATTTCACTCAGGGCAGGGTCCAGGCCCTCCCCTAAGAGTCCAGGCTGAGAGAGCATCCCTCTTTGTGTTATGGACACACAAAGTCTGTTTGTATGCCAGGGATAAACACTGATCCACTGCCCAGGGCCCCATAGGTTGCCCAGGCCTTCTCACTGACACTCACACTCAGGGGGTCTGGACCAGTCCCATGCTGGCCTCCCAGCTGTTGGTCTGGGGTCCAAGAGCTCCCCCTTGTTCAGATCAGCTGTGTCTGCTGGTTTTGCCAGCCCATTCTTTGCCAATTTGCTCATCGCTCCTCTCTCTCTGTCACTGGGCTCCATGGGTTCAGTTCAGTGTTTAACTGTGGGTGTTTGCCTCTGCTTCCATCGGTCACTGGATGAAGGTTCTAGGATGGCATATAGGGTAGATGCCAAGTTCGTTATCAGGAATGGGCATTTAAGGTTGTCTCTCCACTATTGATTAGCTTGCCAGTTCGTGTCATCCCTTTAGATTGCTAGAGGTCTCACTGGTGCCAGATCTCTCTTCTAACCTATGACTCCCTCTATTATGGTATTTCTCATCCTGTTATCCCCCTATCCTACCCCCCCCCCCACTCAACCTTCCTGTTCCCCCATGATCTACTCTCTCTTCCTCTTCTCCCTCTCTTTTCTTCCCAGCTCCCATCCCCCCCCACCTCTTTCCTCATCTGTACTTTGCTTCGCTTTTTAGTTATCCATAGGTAGTGTTTAGGGTAGAGCTTTCACCAGGTTCTAGAAACCTATGCTGTCTGGGGTTGTGTTTTACAGTGGTTCCCAACTTGGATCTCCCCTTAGGGGGTCAAGCAACCCTTTCACAGGGGTCGAATTTGAGATATTTATATTATGATTTATAACAGTAGCAAAATTACAGTTAAGAAATAGCAATGAAAATAATTTTATGATTGGGGAATCACCACAACATGAGGAACTATATTAAGGGTTAGGAAGTTGAGAACCACTGGTTTAGCGTGTATTCACTGGGGACAGAGTACATAGGTCCATTTCCAGTCTGGATCTATGTTATATGAGCCACTTAGGCTCTTGGAGCCTTGAGCCCTCATGTGTAACTCCAGGAGGATATGGACCTCGCTTGGTAGGCTGTTGTGTGGGTATATGTCATCTGCAACTCGGGGAGTGTACTGGTTTTCCTCGGTTGGCTCTTGTGCTGACAGAGTGAGTGAGTCCTCTCAAAGTGATGAGAGTAGGTCTCAATAAGCTTGGTTCTCTCGACATGTC